TGTTATATTAGGAACCAAGTATTTCATCTTATTTGAACATTTAAGTAAATTCATTTTTATCAGACAAGTCCTCATTTTTCAAAATTTAGCAGTTGTCAGTTTGCTGTAGTTACTTACTTTTTCCATTTTCACTTTTTCAAAGTAAATGTATTGGACCTTTTGTAACGTATCCCTTGAAACAGTACTTTATGCAGTGTGAGAGAGGGAGACCATAATGAAGGAAAAGAATCTTTTTTTTTCTTTTTTTTTTTTTTTTTTTTTTTTTTTTTTTTTTTTTTTTTGAGTACAGAGAGTGATTAGGCAAGGCCATGGATTTTCTTGGAATGCCGGTGCTGTTGGCAGAGGCCAGCATACTCAACATTTTATTCCCATTCACTCAGTGAATGGGGACTGTGGAGGCCAGGCTATGGATCTTGTTACTAAACCCTTTCTTCAGAGCTTCCCACTAGAAGGAGCGCCTGCTCATTCCTTTGCTTGCACTTTGCTAAAGAAGATGTAGGCTAGTGCAGAGCAGAGTCCTTCTGTTATCAGAGTGGTGTTTTCTGTTGAGAGTGAGTGATTGGCATCTATCAGGCAGCGGAGACAGTGCGCGTCTGTCCTCCCTCTGTACTGCTCCTGGTTGCTTTTGCTGGTCCCTTGCTGATGTGAAGCAGAAACTGAACAAGGTAACAGTTTTGATGGTGAGATTAGAGGTAGCCAGGCAGACTGTCTCCTGGCTTTTAGAGACCCTCATAAGCTCAGGCCACCCCCTCCCCTTGTTTAGATATTATTTGCTCTTTTGAGTTTCGGATTACAGGAGCAATTGATCTGCATGACCTATCTTGAGAACTTTAACTTTGCAGTGGAAACTTAAACCAAATGTGTATCCTCAAGAGACAAATCATCTTAGGACCAGGCTGCTGTCACTTTGATGTATTGTGCTACTCTCTGGGGACCCTTGTGGTAGAGAGCACCACCTAGTGGATAAGACTTGTAGTTGCTACTGTGGGTGAAAGACTAGAGAATTGGTCTGATGCTGGTTCTTGACTCACAAAAAAATGATTTTTTTATGTTGTTCCTAACACGTAAATTTAACTGTGGCCAGGATTCTAAGAGTATGAGATGGAGAACATTTGAGTCTTCACACAGTTCCTTCCCTACTGCTGTACAGCTGTGGCGTGTGTGTGTGTGTGTGTGTGTGTGTGTGTGTGTGTGTGTGTGTGTGTGTTAACAGAGTTCCTTGACCTGAGTTCCTGCAAGCCAAGAGCCTCTAAAGCTCAAAATGATAGTAGAGAGTTTTGTGTCTAAGAAGTATGTGTTATTTCATAGGTCACCCTTCTATCACAGCTGTGGATGTTAAGAGTAAAGAAAAGTAGAATGCAGGCTGTGGTATAGACTCACTCCAGGGCAGCTCACTGAGACCTTGGGCCAGCTCTGTGGCTTGTCTTTTCTTTGTAAAAGCCCCGAAACTCCTTGCTGTGTCATTTCTATTGCACATTCACCAGAAACATGTAGAATCTGCCCAAATCTGTACCTTTTACAAATTGTCAGGGTGATTCTTTTCATTGTCTACTTTCCCTACGTCTTCCTGAGAAATGTTTTAAATTTCTGAAACCTACACCTTGGAAGTTCTGTTGTTGAATTTAGGTAGTAGGTTAGACAGATACCGAGAATACTGCTGGTGTGTGGAGCTTGGAACCATGCTCTGATGGGAGTAGGCCGGAGAGGACACTACCCACCTTTGGTCACAGTGGCTTTTGGACGATCAGACAGCCACATCATTCTGGAACTTCTCATCTGGAAGAACCTTGCAGATCTTCCTGTCTGATCTTTGCAGTGTGCAGTTGAGGGTTTTGGCACAACAGTGACCCTGAGGTCAGAACTGGTTCAGTCACTCTGCACCTGGAGATGCCATCCTGTTCTCTGCCTACACCCTGACCATCTGTCACAGTTTCTGCTTTCAAGACAGCAGGGCAGATAAAGGCTGTGCATGGAGGTCAGTATGAGCACTGGGCCTGGGAAAGGTGGGGCAGTGGTGGGAAAAGAAAGTGAGAGCAGGGGAAAGATTCTGAGGAGAATGCACTGGGCACAGGCAGGACAGGCTGGCTGGTGGATATAGCCCACAGGAACTCAACTGGCAGAAGCCTGTTTTGTACTTGGTGTGGGTGACCTTGGACAGGGGGATATGGGGCTAGAGAATCCTCACCACTCTCATGGCTTTGGTTTTCCAGGGCCTCATCCAGGAAGAGTATCTCACCTCACCACCTGCAACTCTAGCATGCAGTATGCACAGCTGCCTTCCTCCTGGATCCCAAGGCCACCAGCCATAGCTTCTAATCCATACCTGAAAAAATCACATTCAGTGCCTTTAGTTCTTAGAGACTTGAGCTGCTCTGAAGTTCATGTCAATGCAGTTGTGTGTTCTGGTTCCCTTGCACTCTGTTCAGTGGATGATAGGAGATCATTGTTGTCACTGAACTCCTGCACTTGGTCCAACAGACAGACCAAACCAAAATGGACTCATTCATGCTAATGCTGGTGAACCAAACCAAAGTTTTATTGAAGATGAGTGTTTTGTTTCTTTGGATGCAGGAGATCCTAGTTTATCTGAGTTAGTATGATGAAGGTGATTCCAAAAGCAGTGCTGAGAGGCTCAGGGCTGACTGATCCTGATTGTTAGTCTCAGTCTCCTGTAGCTGCCTTGCAAAAGGCAAGTGTCCTGCTAAAGGAGAGTGGAGGCTGGCTCTTCATGAATGGCAGGCCAAGCCAATGTGCCAATGTGATCTGGTGTGTGTGTGTGTGTGTGTGTGTGTGTGTGTGTGTGTGTGTGTGTGTGTGTGTGTGTGTGTGTGTGCACTTCTGTGTGCGTGCGCGTGCGTTTTGATAGTCTTTCTCCTTACCACAATTCTGGGACTGAACTCAGGGCCTTGCCCTTGCTAGGCAGGTGGTGCTTTACACTGAGCTAAACCTCCTCTGCCTTAGTCTCTGGAGTACCAAAATCACAGGTGTATACTGCCTTGCTGAGCTCCCAGGTTATTTGTTGATTTTTAAAATATTGATTCTTTTTTATTATAGTTCTTTTCATTGGCAAAATGATCAGAATTACAAATGATGAGAGACCGGGAAAAGCATGAACAAAGCAAATGAAGATGTAATTTATCAGCAGCACTCTTGGGGAAGTCATCTTAGTTGATGTAAAACCAACCTGACTCCATGATTCAACAAGGGTGGGCATTCTGAAGTGGCATCAGTAAGAATACTAAGTCCAGAAATGGGAGGCAGTCTCTCCTGCCAACACAAGGCTTCCAGTCTATTCTGGGCATCACAGTGATTCATGAGGCCCATGACCTGATATATTTAAGGGAATTAATGTGTCCAGAAACCACAGATGTTATTTCAGGTAAAGAATTCATGAGAATTCTGGGAATGTTTAGCCTAGAGCAAGGGGAGCCGCTGTATATAGGGAACTCAGTATCTGAAGGTTTTTTCCGGCCCTGAGCATTGAGAGAGGGACCTCATGTGTGTTAAGCAAGCATCTGCTGCTGAGCTGTGCTCCTAGCTCATTGAACTTGGTTTGGGAGAAAAATAATTTTTTACTGTTTGAAGTGGAATGACTTCCCAAGAGGCAGTGGGCTCCCCATATGCTGTCCTTCTAAGCCTGAGAATCCAGGCAGGGACTGTCAGTCACTTCTTTATGCTCTGGAACTATGCAGTTTCTACTAAGCAAATAGAAAGGTCCAGTAAAGTTGTAGTACCCGAGCTTGGGGGGGGGGCAGGGAATACACTAACCCTCAGCATAGAGAAGCGGTGTGGGGTGCTGGAAGAATGGAGGTGAAAGGAGTCTTTTCATTTAACAAAGGAAAAAGCTGGGCCCTGAAGGAGCTGGGAGAAAGGGTAATCTATGGCGTTTGCCTGTTCTTTAGGTTGAGAGTCCTGGCTTGCTGTAAAGCAGGTGCTGCTTTGGGTTGGTGTGGTTGCTGCTGTGAGGCTACTCAGCCTCTGCAGTACAGCAGTGAGTCCTTTCTTTTTGCATCAGCACCAAAAATGTACACAGCATTTTTGTTTTCCAAGGACTGTTTGTTTTGTTTTGGGGGATAGGAGCTTACTCCCTGGAAGGAAGCCCTACTTTGCAGGTTGTTAAGTTAGCTGTCACTATGCCCACCCCATAGCACTACTCAGCTTTGTTCACTACCCAGCCAGCCCTACTCTCTGCTATTTAAGACTCTGGGAAGTTAGAATATAAGGGTGAGACTAGAAAAGGTGGTTTCTGATACACATGGTTCCTGTCTGTCTCTTAGAAGATCCATTGAATTCTGGGAGCTGCTGTACAGTTAGAATGCTTTGGTCCTCAGAATCAAAGTTTGCAGACTGACAGCACCTGACAAATGTACCTTACATACAGCTGATGGAGATCAGATGCAGTCAGCTGGCCTGGGGAAGGCTTTATTTATGAGCAAAAAGGAGGCCTGGAGATTTTTCTAACTTGGGAATTAAGATAGTGGGAGAGGCTATCAAGTCTTTGGGGTGGTGGGGACAACTGGTAGTGAGCCATGAGCCAGAGTAGATAAGAGTGGAGTGGTTGGCCTAGGGCATGCTTCTTTTGTTGTACCAGTGGAGTGTCCAGAAGACAACTGGAGCTCAGAGGGAGGTGCGCCTGGGTGCATGTTTTATGGACTCATGAATAAAGCTATGATTGCAATGAGTATACCCAAAATGTAAAGGACCCTGCCAGGGGCTGAACTTGAGCAGATTCTACAGCTCAGTGCAGGCAGAGAACAGCTCTCAGGAGTAGCCATGCTATAAAGCATGGAGGACAGGACTTCAGAAGGGGGCCTGTGAGGATTGGAAAGGAATTCCCCAGAGGACAGTGGTTCTCAACCTTCCTAATGCTACCTACAACCCTTTAATACAGGTAGGTCTTCATGCTGTGGTATCCCCGACCATAAATTATTTTCACTGCTACTTCATAACTGTAATTTTGCTATTAAAATGTAAATACCTGTGTTTTCTGATGGTCTTAGGCGACCTGTGTGAAAGAGTTATTCAGCCCCAGAGGAATCGTGACCCACAGGTTGAGAACTGCTGCTCTGGGGATTGCCATGCTTCCAGCCTGCCTGCAGTGAGTGCCATCATTCTGTAGAGGGGGAAGTAGAGGGAGGGAGCCTGAGACCATAATACTTGCTTACTCAACAGTTACTGAAAGAAAGAACCTTTCATAGACTAGTCCTAATGAGCCTGCTGTCTGAGCACAGTGGACAGGCAGGGTTGAGCCAGGCTCTCTGTAGGTGACTTGTCTAAAGATGGAAGCTTCTCTCCTGGGACCTAATTCAGACATCTCCCAAGGTGGTTTCAGCAGGGTCCATGTACTCCAGAGGCATGTTAGTTCTGTGCTTCAATTCAGACTTTTAGTAATTGTTGGTGAAATTCTTTTTTCAGTTAAGACTGAAGGGATTTTGAATTTAGTAGGCCCTAGGTTAAACTAATCCTTATGCACGATTACTCTCACTTATCAGTAGCTGGCAAGCTGTCATACCACAGCACTAGCTCTTCTGGCTGTGCTTCATACTAACTGACACAACAAGCCATGTCCACTGATTGAATGAAAAATAAATAAATAATGGTTTTGTTAAGGGACTTTTTACAATATGCCAGAGGGACCTACTGGAGTCTCTTTAATCTTGAACAATGCTTTCTTCTTTCAGAGGCAAATTATGCAAATCGGTACTTAGTGTTCTGAAATCCATCAAGTCTTTGTTGGTAGTGTTTGTGAGTGCCAACAGAACAGAGCTCCTATGATCCTGGCCTAGGGAGGGAGCTACAAGTCAGGCCACTGCTGTAATCAGCAAAAGATGCTTGCCCACTGCTTTGAACTGCCCTGCAGTGAGAGCACAGCCATTCTAAGGAATCCTACTGTTTTTCATAGTATGTTTGTTTTAGTTTATGTTGCTTTGAGTAAGTTACAAAGCACCCAGGAAGTAGCAGGTAGCCAAGCTGTGTTTTTTAGGTGACACATGTAAACAAACCTGGGCCTGTCTCCACGATGGCAGATGGCAGCCATGTTCCCCTAAGCTCCTTTTGTGTCCATTCTGCCCAGAGCCTTATTATAAAAACTTCCAAACTTATCCAGAGTACACGTGTAGGTGTGAAACAGTGTCCTTTCTATTTCAGTGTGTGCAGAACAGTTAATTTGGAGGAATCCTTTGATTCCAAACTAAAGAACCAAAAAAGTTCAAGAGCCCTTGGGGGAGGGGGGTGCTTTTGAGTGACCCCTTGGTAGTGCTGCTGCTTTAAGGCTAGTGCTGCCACCTAATGGACAGGGAAGAGTGTGCAGCTGACTCACTCAACATGAGTTAAAGGTTTCATATTTGCTGTACTGAAATCCTTATGGAAGAGAGTTTTCTATTTTTTTCCCTCAGAATTCAGCAGAAATGTGATAAAATATTATTAAAAATCATCCCCCAAAACATATTTTGATCAGCTGTATGGAAAATAATTTCAGAGGTCATGTGCATATATTTTTGGAGTTAAGGAATTACCGATACTGAGAAAAGAGAAGAGCCAGAGTGAAATGGAAGCATCTGAGATTGTTTGGCGATTATCCGAGTACCCCAGGGACTGAGAATGGTCCATGATTAAGCAGTAAGGCATTACTTACACAGCAAGGTGACTGCTATTTATGTGACATAAATAGTATGTCACGACCCCGGGACACAGGGAAAGCTTGCTTTACCAACTGTACAGATTATCTTTTTTATTCAGGCTCACCCTAGAGCATTGCATTTCTATGATTAAACTGCTAAAAGTGTAAAAAAAAAAAAAGAAAAGAAAAGAAAAAGAAATTGGTGTGAAGGACTAAGTTGATTAGCTGGGAGTGGTGACCACTCTTTAATCCTAGCATTTGGGAGGCAAAGACAGGCAGATTTCTGTGAATGAGGTACCCTCAGTTCCAGGCCAGCCAAAGGCACAGTACTGTTTATTCAAAAACAGAGCTCTCTTTTAGAGGGTTTCAAAGATTCAGATTACCCCAAATCCCATGTTCCAACAAAGAAGCAGTTTCATGAAGTTTTTATAGTAACAGAACAAAAAGTTATAAAGCAAGACATTTCACACGCATTAGTGGAAACATTAGAAAGGCAGGCAAAGTGGAGAAATCTCAGGTATAGGCTGAACATGCTCTCTGACAGCACTCTTAGCCCTTTGATTGATAAAAACTGGGGGTCTGTTCATATGTTCCAAAGGATTCCTATTTGTGCTTTGCAGGATATTAGGTCTGACACAGAGGTAAGCCACAAGAAATAAATATTTAGAGGACGCTGGACTTGCAGCATTCCAACCTTTGCATATCACTGAAGTTGCAGTCAGCCTTGCCGAAAGCTTCTTTCCAGGAATTCTTACCCACAGTAGAACCCTGTCTCAAAAATGAAAAAAAAAAAATGAAATTACTTTAGACTAGTAATATACATGAAAGCAATTAAAAACAAAATGTGGCATTTCAATGCTTGCCCCAAGGGTCCTTAACCTGACCTGGAAAAGCAGAAGACACTGTTGGAAACTGGCCCCTGAGGAGAGCCTTACAAGCAGGAATAAGTCAAACAGAAGTCCAGGATTAGGAACTGGGCAGGCAAATAACCCAGTTTCGTGGACCGGGTATCTCCCTGAAACAGTGTAGATTATTGCCACAGCTCCTGATTGCCCACCGGGACTTGGGGTAAAATCTAATGCTGAAGACACCACAGGAAGCTTCCTGCCAGCCAACTAGCTCTCATAGTACTGAGGTGCTTACATACTGTGAACTACAGTAATGACCAGCATGGCAAGAAGTGACCACCAGTGCAGTGGTGGCACAGATGTTATGGGGAGGGGTTAAACAGCTGCATTTAAAAACAATAGCGTTAAGGCCCTCTCCACAGGAGGAAACACATGCCAGTACTGTAATTTTGGCCCAGAACCTAGGGTTGATGAGCAGAGGCCCCAGGAGTGAGCCTATTACTTTATTCTACTAAATTTACATAGTATCAAACTAACTTCTAAATTCATATCTCTCTACCCATAGTTTGGTGCAGTTCTCAGACCTCATCAGAGAAGTTTCTTGTACAGTTGCTGGTGGGCAATGCAGAAACCCCACAACTAGTCAAGCAGTCAAGAACTGGGGGTGACCTCCCCACCGCTACCCCACAACTAGTCAAGTGGTCAAGAACAGGGGGTGACCTCCCCACTGCTTACTCTGCTTTCCTCTGCACTCCCTCTCCCCAGCTCCACACAGTCCTTGCGTGGAGCTTCTCCTCTGTGTGGATGTGGATCAACTTGAGTGCATGTGTAAACCGTGTTTGAGGGAGCTTAGTGATTTGAGGATCAAGATAAATGACCACCATTGTCCTGCAAGGCTTTCTGACCATCCTGTTCCTTGTGGACCTTCCTCCTAACACCCCAATGGCCTTGCCAGTGCTAAGCTTCCTGGGTTGCAAAACATGGAACAACAGCTGATTCCAAAGGAAAAAACTTGGGTCTGTGAAGGCATATATCTGTTGCAAGTCTGTCTATACACAAACATTTAAAGTTAAGATTTTGACTTTAAAAATATTTTTTAGGGTAGGTAAGATGACTCTGTCCAGCTCTTACTGCCCAAGTCTGATAGCCTGAATTTGATCTCCAAAACCCATGTAAAGATAGAGGACTACTGACACAACAAAGTTGTCTTCTGACATCCATGCATGTGTGCAAATGATAATAATAAAGTTTAAAAAGTTGAAAACAAAGTTTTTAAAAGTCAACAAATGCAAGCATTCTTCCCACATGAAACCCAGCTGATTTGTGTTAAGAAATTTGTGTGAGTCTGATTTTTGGTCTCTTCTAGTTCTATTGTGACCTTGTGTGGGGCGTGTTTCCACATTTCTAATTGTAGTGGAGGATGTCCAAATCATACAAATGCCGTGGGAGTGCAGATCAGTAGCATATTTATAGCTGTCGAGTAGAGTATCTTGCTGAGCACACAGGTGGCTGGCTGGTCATCTATGGGCTGTGGTGACTGTGTAGTATGTGGAGGAATGTACACACTAAAAGAGAACTGCCAGCTCAGATGGTCTGTGCCCTCCTTGTCCTTGTGAGTCAGGTGCTAGAGAAATAAGGTGTGGTACTTAGACTGCCTTGCTTCCACAGAGTTCAACCCTCGTGTCTCTGAGCCAGAGGCATCTCTGTCTGATTCAGTCTTCTCCCAGCTAGAATGGACACATGATAGTGTTCCTACCTCCTGGAAGGTCTGCAGCATGACAAGCTAGTGCATACAGAGCTTTGAGGTGCTATCTGCCCTGGAGAAGGCTCTGAGTAAAGGCTTTATTTATTGATGGTGGTTTTTAATGTGCTCATTAAATGGAACATAAGTGAACACTGCAAGTACTTAGACACAGTAGCTAGAGACTGTTGGGGCATGGTCTAAGTATTGCTTACCAGTCATTTTTAACAGGAAATCTCTCACCTTCAAATGACTAGAACTAAGAAAGTGATGAATGGGAAGCCTTAAAATAATGTGGAAGAGTGATTGAAGGAGACACCTGACATCAACCTCTGACCTCCACATTGCATGTACAGATACCTGTATACACACAGAGAGAAATCTTAATGTTTCCTTATTGCATTTCATTCTTGGCATTAAAATATTTTTATAATATGCTAATGTTGAGTTGTAATTCCATTTTAAATTAATTATTTGATGGATTCATGCATGTATACAACACATTTTGATCATATTGGCCCCCTCCAGCTTCCCCTAGACTTACAGACACTATTAACACCACCCCCCCCCCCCCCCCCCCGACTTCATCTCCTCTTTTCATAGCTCACTAAGTCTGGTTCTGTCCTCATGTGCAGGGGTATAGGGCTATCCACTAGAGCATGGACATCCTAACAGGCCACTTCCCTGAAGACAATTGGCTCTCCCAGCAGCCTTAGGGGAGGGGCTACTGATGTTAAGTAACCTTTTAATTTAGCAAGAATTACATTTAATCCTGAATGAGCTTCATTCTTTTTGTTTGTTTGTTCTTGGAGACAGGGTTTTTCTGTGTAGCCCTGGCTATCCTAGAACTCATGGATACCTCCCAAGTGCTGGGATTAAAAGTGTGCGCCACTACTGCCTGGCCACCTCACTTCATTTTAGTGAACTCATTGGATGTAAATTTGCTGTTGTGGATCAGGTGAAGTTGGGATCATGTTTCTTAGACTTTTAACTGAAACCTCTTGTCATTGTCTTTCTGTGAACCATGGAGCCCCTTGCTCTTGCCCTCATCTACAGTGCCATTGCTCCCTTGCAGACTAGAACTAGCTAACTGTAGGTAGCAGCTGGGTCTGCCTGTGTCCTGGATCTCTTTGGAGCTTATTCAACTTTTTATGAAAATCTTTCTGGTTCCTTATCAGAAATGTTTTGGAGATGAAGCTTTAAGTAGGTATGTCTGTTTCTCAACTCCCAGCAAATTTCTGCACATCCCAGCTTAAGCAACAGGCAGGCAGTCTTATGGTTCTGTAGCTTGCATGCCATAGCCTGGGCTGCCCACCATTTATAGACAAGTGTATTATGCCGACCCTCGGGGAAGATCCATTCATTATGCCTCACACCACCTCTTTGGCTCTTCTGCCTTCTTTATTGTGTCAGAATCTTCGTGATCACACTGGGCCACTCATCTAGAATGATGCTTTGATTTGAAAGTCAACAGGTGACAGACAGGATTAGGCATCTTCCCAGAATAGAGTAGAGGAATATCCCTAGGATATCTGGGAAAGCATTTTGCTTCCTGCAGTAGATATAGCCATTTTGGGATTATTTAGTAGCCCCTGTTCATTTAATATTCAGTGGAGGTTTTGAGAGACTGTTTTTCGCCAAAACAAAACAAAACAAAACAAAAAAACAACAACAAAACTAAAAACCTGTAGCCAGAAAGTTGAAGGGAAGACAGAATCTTTACTATTACCCTCTGGGAGTTTCCATTCTGCCCAAGGGAAGTCAGGCTACGGGCATGGTGTTGTCAGGAAGGAGCAGGCACTGTTACAGGTGCACACGCAGGGAAACACTCTTGAATAAGGAAGAGCAGGACAGTCACAGAAAGATCAGGTCCTGTGGGTGTACAGGTGGTGGGAAACCCTGGACTACAAGCCTGCAGTCTGAACTAGACTAGACTAAGACGTTGCAGCTATACAGTGAAGGACTTGGACTGCCAGATTTGGAATTCTGGTTCCACTCTTTAGGCACATGTTGGTGCCCCACCCTCATCCAAGCTGCATCCTTTGGCTATAGTGTTTTAAAATTAGAACTGTGTCAATACAAAAACTCTACCATCTACTTCTCTTTCTTTCTTTTCATTGTCTACATGGCCTGTCAAGTGTTTATGACTCCTAGTAGGCAGGCAGGGCTTGACACAGAAGAATTGCATTGTCAGATCTTTCACATCATGTGAGAGGCTTTGCTTGTACAGTTTGAATTTTTTCCCCACTGGACTTAACAGTGAGATTGTATGATGCAGCTTGGATAAGAAATAGGAAAAACATGAGGAAGGCAGCTGTGGTAGCTAGGAACCATGCCCAGGATGAACTCAGATCTGAGCTTGAACCCTAGTTCTGTATACTGAGTGTGGGACCTGAGACATATTCTCTGCAAGATTCATATTCACAACTGGATGTGGGACAGTGGTAGTCAGTGAACACAGCAGGGCTCTTGGAAAGAGGAAAGAGACTATGTTTGAAAGTGGGTGTGCCTGCCAAGTGTTGCACAGACTTGGTCCATGCTTGTTAAACAAGTGGACATTCTAATCATACTTGGGTTTTTTTCTCTGTGCTTTTTAAGTGCCTTAGAGCACCTTTCTGAACTGCATTTGTACTAATAGTCAGGATCCTGTGGGAAGCTGGACTAACCTCTGCCATACATCACCAGACGGACCTGGGATGTTGTCTCGTGTGAGATGCTGGTTATCTTCAGCGCTTCCTGTGCATAGACTTGTGAAGAACACTGTGCAGGCCTCCGGGGTGGCTTGTAATGAATCTGAAAAGAAAGCATGTATATAAAGGCTAAGTCAGCATAAAAAGCATGCCACATGGGAGGTGTACAGAGGTCCCTTTAAATGCACAGCAAATGAAAATTATCCTGAGTTGGTCTTGACAGAAAATCTTACAGAGACGTGAAACTTCAGCAGATCTGTCATCAGGAACACAAAGGCAAGAGCAGAAGGAAGTCTGAGTGAGCAGTAGTCACAGGACAAAAGCAGGCCACTGCTGGCTAGTCATTCTCTTCGTCTCAGAACACTTGACCCCAAAGACTGTGTCCTGAGTTTGAATTACTAATTCCCCACTGGCATATAGGTGCTCTAGAGCAGAGTTGGTTTAGATTCTGGTACTGGGGATGGAACCAGGCCCTGGAGGATCCCAGATAAGGACTCGTGTGCCTAGGCTATACTAGCAGCCCCAGAGTAGGCTTTTTATTGAACTTGAAGCCAGCCATATCCAAGGAAGAATTTCACAAGCTGTTGCTTCTTACTCATCTGTGGGGGCACCCACAAAAAGGGTGAGAACCCATGTAGGTTTAAATCATTGTCCAAATCATCTCTAACTGTGCTGCTCCCATAAATTCTGTTTATATACCTGCAGCACCTGAGAGAAGAAACAATTGTCTGTGAATATAGATACAATACACTTAAAAAAAGATTTGCCCCTTATTGAGCTCATGAGGTGCATTGTCTGGTGTAGTCTGTACTTTCCTTTGGCATCACCTGTGCCTAACATCAAAGGTCACTACAGTTAGAGGAAGACACAGCCATTTATAAGAGACCAAGGCCCATGAGAGTTAACATGGTAGTAGAGTTAGTGTGTTAGTGACTGTGACATCCTAAAACCAAACTTATGAGTTGAGTATGGTGGCTCATGCCTGTCATCCCAGTACTCTGAGTATGGAAGCAGGAGGTCCACAAGTTCAAGGCCATCTTGAGCTATAGTAGCTGGACCTTGTTTTAGTACAACCCCCTCGCAGCAAAAGTAGGAAAAGTTTCTGAGTTTGCAGTTCCCAGTCTTTGCAGCTGTGCTCTACTGTGTGGGCAAGTGTGCTCACTCAGTGTACACCTGTCCATATACAATATTGCCATCTTTTCTATTGCAGATTTCTCACATTGGGAAGCTGAGAGACTTTCTCCTGGAACACAGGAAGGAGTATATTAATGCTTACAGGTAAGTGGGTTCTTACTTCCATGGCTGTGTGGCTGTATTCCTTTCTGTTGTATATTCTGCTTTTTTTTTTTTTTTTGGTCCTTACTTTTTACTAACTCACACTTGTAGTGGGGAAGGACAGTGTCCTATTTGCTTTCTACTTACAGTGATAATACCATGACCAAAAGCAACCTGGGAATACTTCCATATCAAGGTCTGTGATTGAAGGGGGTCAGGCCAGGACCTTAGCTAAGTAAGAACCAGGAGGCAAGAACTAATGCATAGGCTATGGAAGAACACAGCTTACTGGCTTGCTTCCCATGTCTTGTTCATCCTGCATCCTTGTATACCCTGGACCACCTGCCAGGGGTGACATCACATCAATCATTAATGAAGAAAATGCCCTACATTTTCCAGCTTCTGGACAAACACTCCCCAGTGCTTTGGCTAGGCTATAGGGGAATGAATAGCTGCAGAACCATCACGGCAGGTTTGTGCCAAGTCACCTATCAGCAACAGACTCTTCTGGTCTATGTGCTTCTCTGTCCATACCCTTTTCTACTAATGGATGACACTCACTGCCTGAATGTGTATAGTACTGTGCACAAAGGTGAGTGTCCCATGTCACCTGAACCTAGGAAGGAACAAGGTTTTTAAGACTCTGCTAAGTTATTTTTACCTATGTTTGGCCACCCCTGCCTGTGACTCTGGCTTTTCTGGTTTGGTGGCATTCTTGTAAGCCTTTTTCCAGCCCTCCCCCTTGTGTCTGTCACTGGGTCATGCTTTTCTTGCCAGTTCTCTTCCTGATGGCAGTCTTCTTTTGACTCTTTCTAGAAACAGAAGCAAGTTTCTCTGGCTTGGCCTTTGTTTCTTATAGTATATCTCATGAGGGCTTTACTCAGCCCCTTGGGTACTTGTGGTCACATTCCTCCTGGTGGTGAAGTTCCATTTCTAGAAAGTAGCCATCTGCTTTCGTCACTGTGACGGTCCACTGCATTGGTACTGGCTTGCCTTCTCCTCTTAAATCAAGACTCGTAGACCCAGTCTTGCTGACCTCCCTGGAAGGCTCCATGCTCTTTCTAGCTGCAGGGCATGCCCAGATGAAGTACTTTCTATTCCCACACATCCCCCTTTCAGCTTCACCACTCAGCTTCTATACTGTATAGTGTATGCAGGACAGAGAAGAGCCCATGTATGTTGGGGCTTTAATTAAACTTGTCTTATGAGAGGCTTTCTCTAACACCACTCTGGCACATCTCTCCTGTTGGTGTTTATTTCTCCAACATGTGTATTTTCTTTAAGCATGAATCACAGTGTGTAGTTATTTCATCAGTTAATAGGTTTTTGTCAATAGTTTGTAAATTTTTCGGGCAGAGACCTTATCAGCTTCTCATTCATATTTCTATAATGCTTTAGCTATTCATTGCACTCAGTAATAAAACATGAATGATTCGTTCATATCCCTAAGGCCCATGGCTAGCCACTGGTTCTCTTCCACAGGTGTTTTGGTAACATCTTAAGAGATTTTGTCATAACAAGAGAGGAGTGCTACTGGCATCTGGCAGGTATGGGGCAAAAACATCCTGCAGTGCACAGCACAGCCTTTCACAGACACAGGGCAGCTGGCATTGACCCTGAAGGGCCTTTCCCAGCCTGACCTGGATCTGTGAACACCGGCCCAAGGCCTTCTGCAAGTCTAGAGGCTTTGAGAGCATCAGGGAGTGAGGTAGAAAACTGTCTCTCCTTTTTACAGCCTGCATGCTAGAGGGTTGCAAAGAATTTATGGTGACAGGTAAAGACAGAGGGGTGAAGTTCTGGGGTGGGAGTGATGGGGATGTTTGTGGTTTTTACATAGTGTAGTTAGGACAGGCTCCTTAAGGCCTACACAGAGAGTAGACTCCTTTCTGAAGCTTGAACTCCCTGGCAGGATTGAGTCCTTCCTGCCTTGCCTCTTTCTTCCTCCTTTCTATTCCATGCAGAGAAGGTGAAAGTCCCACTTGTGCCCTGTACTCCCAGCCCCAGTGCTTCTGAAATCCAGCTACATACAAGGTTCCCATTGGTTTTGTTGATTTGGCTCTCCTTCCCTTCACTCACTCACTCACTCACCTTGTTTCCTCCCTAAGCCACACTCTTTCATTTCACTGCCTGACATCGAGGTCTACCAACTTTCTGAAAGAGGGTTAGCTCCCCAGACTTTGTGGGCCATGTATTATTTGTTTGTTTATTACCTTTGAAAAATAAAAACAAAAAACATTCTCAGCTGCCAGATTGCACAGAACCAGACCTGAGGGCTAGATTTGGCTGTGTTTTTCAGACCACTGGTGTATTCCCACTCTCCTCACCATTTGTTGTTCTAGAATCCTGATAGTGTTCTGTTGTACTCTCTCTCTCTCTCTCTCTCTCTCTCTCTCTCTCTCTCTCTCAGGTTTATTTTCTGACTTGCTCATCATCAAATCCAGTGACTTATCTCACAACTGTGTGTAAATGGAGTCAAACAGTGTACACCCATGTGCCTACCTTCTAGTATGCAAAAACTGTTTAATTCTCATATTTCTTTTATTTTTATATTTCATTGGGCTGAATTATCATAATTTGGTTATTCATCTGCATAAGAAATAGGTGTTTCCAGTTCTGTGCTATTGTAAATGGAGGAGCTGCTGTGATGGAGTGCTCTCTGAATACTTTGTGGACATTAATGTTCATAAATAGCTAGAAAAGAGATTGCTAGGTCATTCATCTGTTGGGTGTATGTTTAACTTTAAAACAAACTCCCAAGCCAGGGCCCAATGGTGCAGTGGATAATGCTTCTGATTGTGGATTGGAACATCCAAAATCAACTACAAAACAGTTTGCAAAGTAATTTCACACAACCCATCACAACAGGGGAGAGGTACCAGTGCTTGCACATCCACACCAGTATCTGGTGTGGGCAGTAGTTCATTATAGCCATAATAAGTAGTGTGAAATAGCATCTCATCATGCTTTAAATTAACTCCTAAGATGGCTTATGCCCTTGGCTTCATTATAGTGTGGTTGTCCCTGGATGTCCATGGGGCATTAGGTCCTGCATCATAGAGGTTCAAGACCCTCACAGAATGGCATAGTGTAGGCTTGTGTGTGCTTACTGGAATCACCTGTAGATGACTGATGGTGTCCAGCAGAGACAGGGTCAGTGATCTTGAAATGCTTCCTACTGTAGCATAAGGAACAGACAGAGAAGAGTCCATGTACTCTTATTGTGAATGCAGTCATCTTACTCTGAATTTCTAGACCAGCCTATGGAAACTGCCCGTAAGAATGCACTGCAAATGCAGAGGATCAACTGTATTTTCAACTCCTCTGACTATTCCAGTTTTTGTTTCTTATCCTTAACTTCCACCATAGAAATTTGGGGGTTTTCTTGACTCTTTTGTCTTATTTGTCTCCACTTTGCATTTGAAATGTACCATAATTGTTGTGTTAGTCAGATTTTCATCCTTGTGACAAATACCTTAGAGAGTAACTTAAAAATAGAGATGGTTTGTTTTGTTTACTGATTCCAGTTTAGTCATGACAGAGAGTTTGGCAGGACAAAGTTGCTCACATCTCAGCAGCCAAGAACTGGGAGAAATGGGATAGCTGCCCCCCTTTAAAGACATGTCTACTAGTATGCTTCCTCCAGACAGGTATCACTTGCCAATAGCTCCTTGATGCTATTTGTGGACTGATGATCCAGTCATGATTCAGTACTAACCAGCTGGGGACCAGATCTCCAACACAGTCCTTTTGAGGACCACTTTATAGTCAGATCATTGCAGAATGTTCCTTTATACTGTGTGAAGATGTGTCACTGAGATTGGCCAATAGCTATGCTGGACTTCTGGGGGACATAGAGGTCTTGGGAAGAAGAAAGATGGAGTTGCCAGTTGGATGAAGAGGAAGCAGGACATGTAGGAGAGATAAAAGCCACGAGCCACATGGCAGCACATAGATTAATAGAAGTTGGTTAATTTAAGTTATAAGAGCAGTTAAAAATGAGCCTAAGCTAAGGCCAAATTTTCATAATTAATAAGAAGCCCCCATGTCATTATTTGGGAGTTGGCAGTACAGAGAAAGATTTGCTATATCAGACGGTAGTTCTCTGTCTCCCCATCCCATACACCCAATCGTCATTAGTCCATCTGCAAGATGCACTCCTAAGTACTAATTCATATTTTGTCTCATTTAGTCCTTGAATTCCCTTTGTTCATCTTTACTGACTGCCTCCCACGTGATACACTCCACTTCATGCCAAGCAAAAGACAGACATTTTACTCTTTGTCACACAAGCAGGCAGCATTGTAAACAGGATGGGGACCACAAAAAAAAAAAAAATAGAGCTCAGGGGTTTGGAAGACCCTGGCCTTGCCAGGGAACATGTCTTTGAAGAAGTGACACTTGATCTGAGGTGGAAGAGGAGTTACCTAAATGACAAAAAGGAGAGAGGGAATCCATGTGTCAAGTTAATATACCTGCTGGCACCTGGGAATAGTGTCTGTCCTGTTGTGAAACCTGTAGCAGTGTCGAGAGAGTGTTGACTCTGCAGCAAAAGGGGTGCTGTGTTATCTGGAAAGCCAAGAAAGCATTTGACCAGAACGTCCAGAATGGCTTCTGGCCTTGATTCTAGTTGTCAGCACACAGGAGCACTGTGGTACAGGCAACTGGTCCTGCCCTGGCCAAGTCATCAGAATCTGCCCATGAAGAATTTGCCATGGGAGTAACAGCACCATAAGCCTCTTTCTGGGACTCTATCTGTAGGAAACAAGTGTCTGTACCTCAGGCACTCCACTTTAAAAAAAAAAGTCTGTGCCAAATGGAAATAGTTTATACACATTCCTCAACAGAGAAACTCATATACTCATATCCCAGGTGAATATAAGCAGTCCCCAAACTTAACACACAATTTTATATTTTTAAATGTATTTCATTTTAGTGTCTCAAAAATACCCTGAGATGTTAGCCTGCTGTGTAGTACTATCTTAAAGTCCTCTGTTGGCTGGCTG